GGGGGGGGGGGAGAAGGAGGGGAGCGGGGTGGAGGGTAACGCCAGCGGTAGCCCACCTCCAAGAGTGACTTGCCCTTTTGTTTCCGTCCGCCAGCCCGCGGCGTGACGGGGGGCGCCCTCGCGTCCGGGCCTCGAACGGCGCAAGGACAGACCTCGCTGAACGTCGTTTCTCCACCGCCCCGCGCCCCCCCCCCCCCCCCCCCCCCCCCCCCCGGTTCGAGGCGCCGATCTGCCCCCCCCCCCCCCCCCCCCCCCCCCCCCCCCCCCCCCCCCCCTCTCCCGCAGCTCCACTAAACCGGGAGGCCTGCGCAATACTGGCAACGGCCTCCGAACTAGCGCTTTCCCTGGCCGAAGGCCCTGGCTGGCAACACGGGGGCAGGGACGCCCGGAGCAGTCATCCTCAAATGCACGACGATGAAGAAGAGTCTAGACAACAAAAGACAGGTGCTGGCGGGGAGTCGCCGACCGGGTGCGCAGACCGGATATCATGTGCCACTGGTTCTCACACGTGATGCACCGCCTCGAGGGCGGCGATTGCGTTCTCTTGGCAGGGCCTTTTCTTTTGGGCGCGCGTGTCGAGTCGATCTCCGGGCTTCGAGCCGGGCATGATAGAACCTTTCCCACCTCTCCTCCCCCCCCCCCCTCCCCCCTCTTCTCTCCCTCCTCCCTCCCTCTTCTCTCATCACTCCTTTCCTCTCCCTCCCTCCCTCCATTCGGCTCCGATGTCCAACACGTCGCTGCTTCCGCTGCTTTCCAGCAGCGAGCGCCAGTTCATCCTCCAGGGCGTCGCCAGCGGAGTTCGGTCGGACGGCCGCGGGCGCCTGGACGCGCGCGACATCATCCTTGAGACTGGCCTCCTCCCTCAGGTTCGTTCGCATCCCGGAGCAGTGCACCGGCTGACCCGCTTGTGGATCCTCGTTCCCCCTTTCTCCCTTTTCACATCCTACCCACCGGCTGACGTGCCTTTCTCCCTTTTTTCGTTTCCCCTCCCTGCGGTCCTTGTCCAGGCAAATGGCTCAGCGCGAGTGATCATCGGGAATACCGACATCCTGGTCGGCATCAAGGCTGACCTCGGACTCCCCTCGCAACAAAACCCCGACCAAGGGCGCATCCACTGCAATGTGGAGTGGTGCGTTCCACCTCCCCTCCCCCCCCCCCCCCCCCTCCCCCTCTGCTCCCCTCCTCGCCCTCCTCCACTCGTTCCTCTGCCACCTGCCCCCTGCCAGGCGTATTTGTCCCCCTCCTGACACGCAGCCCACAGCACCGCCACCGTCACCAATGCCGTCGACTCGCGCGATGCCGACTCCGATGCCGAAACCCTGGGCCATGTTATCACGCGGATTTTTGTCAACAGCGGCTGCATCGATCTGAAAAAGCTTTGTCTCATTCCCGGCAGCGTGTGCTGGAATTTCTACATCGACGCCATGGTGCGCACATGTGCACGGACCCACACATGTGCACTCGCTGCCCTGCCCTTTTCCCTGCAATCCCTGACCCACTTCCCCCCTCCTGGGACAGATTCTCGGCTTCGATGGCAATGCCGCTGATGCCATTGCCCAGGCCGTTCGCGCGGCGTTCTCCGATTTGCGCATCCCGCGAGTGGTGATCGACACCGGCAGCACCCCTCCGACGGTGGAGATTGACGAGGACCTCCGCCGGGCCTTCTGCCCTGTGGATGTGGCGGCGCTGCCCCTCTCCATGACCATGTGGAAGGTGGGCATGAGCTTCCTGGTGGATCCGACCCCGGCCGAGGAGGCCTGTGCCAGCGGGGCCCTGTTGGTTGCGGCCACCGCCACCGGGCGGGTGTGCCTGGTGCAGACCCTGGCCGGCGGGGCGGCCCAATACTCGGAGTCGGCCCAGGCGACTGCGCTGCCGGTTCCACGTGGCGAGTCGACCGGTGCCCAGGCCGGGGCTCCGCCCGTGGCCGTGGTCAGCGCCGGCGGCATGAACCCCCACTCGATTGTTGATATGCTCAGCACCGCCACCGAGATCGCCCAGTCGGTGGCCCGCAAGCAGGATGAGGCTCTGCGCCGGGTGGCCGAGGCCAGCACTCGCTCCCATGGCGCCGGCAAGTCCGCGCACTTTGTCGATCAGTCGGTCGGCTTCTTTGCCGACTCCTTCGCCGCCACGAGCGGCAACTAAGCCTGGCCGAGTCAGCGTCCTGCGAGCGTGAGCGTACACAATGCGTGCCCATGCAGGCGAGCGTGCGTGCCAATGCCTGGCCATCTCGCCGCCCCGGGCCCATGTATGCCTCTCCTTCCCTTGTTCCCCCCCCCCCCCCCCCCCTTCTCCTCGGCCTTTTCCCTGACCTCCGGGGCACGCTCACTGCCAGCCGGCAGGATATTCCAACCAATAAAAAGCATTAAATTCCCCGGCCCCCGCTCCGAGCGTGCTCCCCACTACCCTTCCCGGAGAACACGTGAAACATGTGCCAACTCTCCAGCAAAACACCCCGGCCCCTTTTGTGCCCCGCGTCGATCACTCCTCCGATGATGTGTGTGTGTGTGTGTGTGCCAGGCGCCCTCTCTTCATTCCTGCCCCCGGCGAGCTGGTCGGTCGGCCAAGCGGCCAACCGCCGGTTAATAGGCTGCACTAATGGGACGGGATCCGGCGGCAGACCGGGGCCATACCTCTACTTTCTTTTTTTTTCCTTGCCCTGCCGGCTCATCCTTCCTGTCCCCCTCTCCTCCCGCTTTTCTCCTCTGCCCCCCCTTTTCTCCCGTGAAGTGCGAAGATGGGTGCCATGACCTTCGTCGGCTGCCTGCTCACGGCGTACTCGGCTCCGGCGTACCTCACCTGGCGCCACATCTTGCCGCAATCTCTCCGAGTCATTCTCATGATGACTGGGTACGTCTGCACAATCCCCCCCCCCCCCCCCCCCCCGCCCTGCCCTGCCCTGCCCTGCCCTTTGCCTCTTCCACACCTCCCTTGAGCTCGGCACTTACCCTCCTTCGGCTGGCCCTCGGCGCGACCGCCAGGATGTTCATCTACCTGTTGGGAGTATTCCTGGCTTCGCTGTTTTGGTTTGCCGTGGTCCCCCTCCGACAGAACCTCTGGTTCAGCATCCCCTTCTCGGTGGGCTTCCAGTTTCTTGCGCGCTACGCCTATTACAGGCTATATATGTGCGCACCACATGCGGGATCGCCTTTCTTCGCACTGTTGCCATGATTCCCGTCATCTGTTCCGCCAGCAACGACGACTCATTCCCCCTCGCCCCTCTTCGCCCGGCCTCTGTGCATGCATGTGTCGTATTTGCTCCCTCCGCCGGCTGACGTCCTCCTTAGGCGCATCGGGAATGGCATCAATGCCATCTCCGACAACCCGGCCAACAAGTGGAACGGCCTGGATTATGCCTTTGGTGTGTGCAGATCGCCCGTGTCCAAGACTACCCTCCACCGGCTATGGCCCAATAAGGCCCACCTTTGGCTGACCGCCCCCCTTCGCCCTTCCCCCTCTCCCACACCCCCTCGCACAAGTGGGCGGCCATGGCTTTGGCCTCATGTCGGCTCTGGTGATGAATGCTGCCGCCCTGGCCGAATCTCTGGGCCCGGCCTTTGTGCCTTGCGCTTCGTGTCCCTCCCTTTCGTCGTTCTTTGTTTACGGTGCGCCCTGCACAGGAATATGGCCTTGTCTCCCCCCTTCCCCCATACGCACACGCACACGCACACGCACACACACACACACACACACATATATATATATATATATATAGACGCGCGCGCACGTAGGCGCGCCTTCTCCAACCCCCACTTCTCACCCACGTCAGCAGCTAGTTTGCTGAATACTAACCGTCTGCCCGTCACCAAGCCATCCTCGCCCTCTACTTTTGGTACATCCACATCCTGATGATGCCGCTCTGTATGAACGCATTCTCGCGGCAGCCCCCTCGCCGGGCGATCTTCCGCGTGGCGACTCTCTACTTGACGCAAACGGGCGCCTCCTATGCCACGAATCTCTTCCACAATGCGCCTGGCCTCGTGGCAGGCGTCGGCAATGGTGGTCCCTGCTCCATTGCCTTCCTGGTGATGATTGCCATTGCGGTCGGCCTGTCCTTCGAGGCGTGGCGCGTCCTCGACCGGGCTACCATGCGCTGAGCGCGGGGATCCCCCGAGGCGAGCGGGGGATGGGGGAGTCCGCACACACGCGCGTGCGTGCCCTCCCAGTTCTTGCCTCCCCCCCCCCCCTCAGGCCTTTGCCCTGTGTACAACGGGGGCCTTCGCCCTCCGAGCCATGTCACCCGCATCCGCCGGCACCTGGGCCCCCCAGCTCCCTTGCTCTTGTCCCAAATGCACACAATACACTGCCGCTCCTTGCAACTGCCAATGTACTCTGCCCTCCCGGTTACTTCCATCCCTGACCTGTTGTGTTCCGGGGGGGGGGGGGGGGGACTCTGCGGCCCTGCTGCTCTCGCCCCTTCCCCCCCCCTCCCCTCAGCCCCGATGTTCTCCTGGGGGCTTGCCCATTCAGAAGGCCGGGGGTCGACGACCGTGCCTCTGGGCTTTGAGCAGCCCTCTCCTTGACTCCTCTCCCTTCCTCCAGCCTGACGCACCTGCCATACCCTCTGAGTGCATGGCGATGCTTGCCCCAGCGAGCGCTTGATCCCCCTCCCCTCTCTTCGCCCCTTTCCCTTTGTTCTTGACAGGGAAGCCTCCCCCCTCCCCCTCTCCTACCTCTTTCCTCTTCCCTCTCTCCCTTCCTCCCACCCACCCTTTGGCATTATGTCTGCCTCCGGCGGGTCTGGGTCTGGACCGCAGGGTGGCGGACCCGGTGGCGGCGGCCCGCCTGCTCCGCCTCCTCTCGGACAGCAACGCCGCGCATGGGACAAAAACACCCGCTCAGATCGGTCCGGTCGACCGGAATACCGTCGCTTTGAGCGCCACGACCGGCAACCTTCATTTGATCCGCTTCGTGACCGGTCTCCCCGTCTAGATTCCCCACCTGTCCAAGTATGCCCGCTGCGCCCTTTTACGTGCTTTTTTTTTTCCTTCTTCTTCCTCTTCCTCCTCGCCAACAATCCCACCGCCCCACTTATCCCCTCTCATCCGGTGCTTCCCGCTTGCTAACCCATGGGATCAGTCGCGCTGGAGTGGCCCCCCCGGGCGCTCGCCTGATCACACTTGGTCTGGCGGCAGCGGCAACACCCACACCGCTGGCAGTGGCGGCGGCGGCGGTGGCGGCAACAGCAGCAGCAGCAGCAGCAGCACTGGCAACCACCTGCCTTATCGATCAACGCCAAGCAGCGAGGGCCTTTCGGCAAACCCCTCGCCCGGCAGTGACGCCTGCCTGACCACAGCAGATCCGCTTGCCTCGCGGCCGCTGCCATATGTTCCCCCGCCGCTGGACTCGCTGCGTCTGCCGGTCCCGTCCCCCTCCTTCCAGTCCCTGGCTGGGGCATCTGAAAGTGTGTCAGCCCGGCTGAATGCTCGCCTGCTGGATGCCCTCGGAGGCCCCATTCCCTCATTCTTGCCATCGACTCTGGACTCCTCCCTTTCTCGAACGGGCTTCGATTTCATGACCCTCTCCAGCCCCCCGGGTCTGCGGTCTCCGAGTACGATGACCCCGCCGCCGCCGCCGCCGCCGCCGCCCGGCTCCACGGTACAGTCCTCCTCGCGGTCATCCCCCTCACAGCCAGCCGACCTGGGACCTGCATCGGCACCGGCTCTCCCGACTGATGGCCCATCCGCGACCTCGTCGCTTGCCAATATGGTCCGGCGTCCGCTTCACCGGGCGGACTCCGTGCCATTGGCCTCGCCCTCATCACCCATGGTGTCTCCATCGCACTCGCACCCCCAGTCGGACCCTCCGCCCGTGCTGGTCTCCTCGCCTGTGCCCATGCTTTCGGGCTTGAACTCCCGGCAATCCCCTTCCTCGGCTACCCCCTCGATGGAGCAGCTCCCTCAAGAGCCCCGACAAGCCTCGGCCACCCCCCCGGCTTTGGAGCCCGTCTCATCACCTCCCTCATTCCCGCCTCCGCGGGCCTCCCTGGCGCTATCCTCCCCGCCCTCGGCCCAGCATGATCCCCTCTCGGCGTCGAGAGAGCCTGTGTCGGCTGAAAACCACAGTCCTACACACCTGGAGGCCGTTCAAGCCACGCTGGAGGTCGAGCTTGTATCCGAGCATGAGCCCGAGCCCGAGCCCGAGCCCGAGGCGGGTCCCAGCCTCCGGTCGGAGTCTGATTCCGAAGCCATGCCTCCCAAAGGGGACCTTCCTGACAGTGAAGTCCCCGGACTGGATGTCCTGGCCTCGCGGGAAGAGGTTCCTCCTCCGGCAGAACCTCCGGCTCCTGTGCGGAAGGAACCCCATTTTCAGCCGTTCGGCCACTTTGAGATCGATGTCAACAATGTACGCTCGACATCTCTCCTTCCCTGCAGGCTGCTTGTCTCTGACATCCTGACCATGCCCCCTTTCGCGCAGCTCCCCACTTCCGACGAGGTGGCCCTCGGCATCAATATTCTCGACAACCAGCTTGCCTCACTGGAAAGTCGCCTCCAATTGCTTCGATCCATGGACGAGACTCTCTCTCAGTGCGTTTTCTTTTCCGCGAAAAAAGGCGCTCAACAAGCATCTGCACACACACACACACACACACACACACACGCACACGCACACGCACACGCACACACGTATGTGTACAGATGTACACATGTACACATGTACCGGTGTATGTCGTGCCCGAGCTAACTTTCAATCACCGACCATGCAGGCTCCAGGATCGACGGTTTGCCGAGCCCCAGCCCCAGAACCCCGTCCCGGGGCCACCGGCCGGGGTGGATGTCTATTCCACGCAGATCCTGCTCCGCTACCAGAAACCGGTGCATCCGCTGGACCCGTTGTATGCCTTCGATTTGGCCCGGTCTCCGGCCCCCGGGCAATTGGCACTCGATATTGCGGCCGGCAACCAGCAGGGCACCGGCCCGGCGGCTCGTCTCCTTGCTCAGTCGGAGACAGTGCTGCGTGGCTTTGATCCGGGATTCCTGCCAGCCGGTGACCTGAAGCCCCTTCGGGAGACAAGCCTCGCGACCCAAGCCGAAGCCGAGGACTCTGCCACCACTGGGGTCTCCTCGCCGGAGGCCATGACCTCCGATGCCGGCACCGACAGCAGCGGAGATGACCAGTCCGACGAGGAGAGCTCCGATTGGATTGGCTCGTCGAGTGCCACCGAGCTGGACCCGGGTTCGAGCTCGGCTAGCCAGCCCTGGCCCGAGGGGTCCTTCCGGCCGATGTGGCCCGAGCCCGCGGCCGGCTTCTCGGCGGTCCATGCGGCGGTAATGCGCCGCGTTCGGCTCAATCGCACGGCCCTCTATGCCAAGGCAAGTGAGCTGCATGCCGAGCGCTCGCGTCTCGATGACCTCTGGCGCCAGGATCAGACTTCGCGCGACTCCTCGGTCGGGCCGGCGGACCTGCTGCCTGACGCGCCGGGGATTGGAGGTCCCGGTGGGCTCGGTGCCGCGGCTTTGCAGCCGGCAGCCGGTGGCTCAAATGCCTCCGGCGGCCCGGGTGGCGTCAACGGGCCTGGCGGCCTGGCCGGTGCCTCCTCCGAGGCCACACTCTTTGGCATGGAGCTGAGTCCGATGCTGGGGTCTACGCGGCTTGGATCGCGCCGACGTGCGACGCTGTCCTCCTCGGCGGACCCCTTCGCCGGTGACACGGTCCGCACGGAGGCCGAACTGGAGGAAATCCTGGAAACCCTGCGGGCCAGCTCGGAGCGCGAGGCGGCTTTGCGTGCGCGTGTGGCCACTCAGCTCCCTGAGCAGGCTCTGCAATTGCCAGCTCGGTGGGCCGAATTGCCGGAGCTGGTGTCAGCATCGCCGAGGGGCAGTGTCGCTGCTTCGCCGCGATCGCCGACCCCCGGCGGCCGGTCCGGTGTGCCGATGGTTCCCCTTCGCCCGCTGCCGGTCTTCCATGATGTGGCCACCTCTCGGCGGGTGGCTCGCATGCCGGACTTGCTGGCGGCCGAGCGGCTGAACTACCGGCCATGGACCGGCCGTGAGCGGGCTGTCTTCACGGCGGCCTTTGTCCGGTGGCCGAAGGATTTCACCAAGGTCTCACAGGCACTCGGTGGCCGGGGGATCAGTGGCGGACCGCGCGCCGGCCGAGAGCCCGGCATCGGCGCCGACGCCCTGATCGACATTCATCAACGTGAGTCGCAAGCCCGGGCAGCTGGTGGCTCATCGGCCACCTCGGTTCCCTCTGACACCGGGGCTTTGCTTCTGCGCCAGGTGGAGCCCGGCTGGCTCGGGGGCCGCACTGTGGACGAGTGTGTTCTTTACTATTATCAAAACAAGAAATCCTTGAAGGTGCGTGCCGGTGCCGTGGGCCAGGTGAAAGAAAAAGCGAAAGAAAAGGCGTGGAAGACTGATTACACGGAGTGCAAGGATCCCCCATCTTGATATGGCTTGCCAGGTTGACATTTTTGTCTCTCTCCCTCTCTCTCTCTCTCCGCCTTCTTTTCTTTTTACTTTTTCTCCCCCCCCCCCCCTGCTAACCTGACAAACTCCCCATCTCCTGCGGTTGGTCATCATGCGTCTGTATGTAGCTCAAGCGTCTGGTTAAGCAGTCTCAGCAGCGGCGTCGGCGGTACACCCAGCGTCAGCAGCAATTGGCCCAGCAATATCGCGACGAGGAGCGTGCCGCGGCGGCCTTTGAGCGTGTGCGTGAGAAGCGCGAAAAGCGTGAGCGCCGCCGCCGGGAGGACCGCCTGGCGCAAGAGCGCGAGCGTCAATTCTCGGCGCACAATTTGGACTTGCCACGCGAGGACCCGGATGAGGAGGACCTCGATGAGGATGATCTCCTCGGGGAGGACGTGCGCGCTCGGCGCCAACAGGGCATCCTTCCCGTGGAGGAGAGCCAATCGGCCGATGAGCGTTCGGTCCCCCTGACGGATGATGAGATTGCCATTGTGGATTCGGTGCCGGCAAGGCCCCTCTCCCGGACCATTACCCATACATTTGCTTCGCCCCCGGGTCCGGCCTCGCAGGTGCACATTAAGGCGGAAGACCCGCCGGGGCCCCTGGCCACCGAAGCCGCCGCGTCGGATCTGCTTTTGCTGGCCTCGGTCGCCGGGCCGGTAACACCAGGTACGCCGGTCTGCCCGTCCGAAGGGCTGCTCATCTGTGCAAGGCGGGCCGGGGGACACCCTTTCGGACAGACACCCAGACATCGAGCCCCCAGCACTTGAAGTGACTCACATCCAATGCCAGCCAAACCCACCAAGCCAAAGAGTGCCACGAAGACCGCCCGCGCTGGAAAGGCCACCGCGACGCCCGGTCGCTCGGTGTCACCGACAGCCACGCCAGCGGCGGGTAAAACCAAGGCGGCGAAATCGTCCACCGCCAGCGCGGCTCGGGGTGCTCGACGTGCTTCGCCCGCCGCGGCACCGGGCGATGGCTCACCCGCGCCATCTCCCTCAAAGGAGGCCGAGCCGACATCCACGACCAAGGAGAAGGCCGCTCGCGGACAGGGCCGTGCATCCACACCGCAGGCCGGATCCCGGGCCGCCAAAAAGCCCGCCGCTTCGGGCAGCCCTACACCGAGTGCCGGCACGACGGCTGCCAAGACGAAGGCCGCCCAAAAGTCGACCACCGCTGCGGCAGCATCCAGCAACAAACCCTCTGCGGCCCAGCGCAAGGGAGCCAAATCTCAAGATGCCTCGGTGTCCGGGGAGTCGGGGGCGATTGACACGCCGAAGAAGTCCCGTGCGCCAGCCCGATCTCAGTCGCAACCACCGGCCGCGGAGGGCTCCGTGCCAGCCAGCGGCCGTCGGCGGCCATCGCAGAGTGCGACTGCCTCAGCGGCTGCCGCTGCCGCCGCCGCTGCCGCTGCCACCGCTGCTGCCGCTGCCACTGCTGCTGTCGCGCAAGACCAGGCCACAAATGCCTCGCTGCCTGCGGACCCCTCCCTGGCTGCCCTGCTAGATACGAAGTTGCCTCTAGATGCTCTGCTAAACCTGGCCTCGCTGTCGGCGAGTGCCGCTCCAGTGACCGGTGCCGGTGCCGGTGCCGGTGCCGGTATCATGGCACCTGCTCCCATCAACACCCCTCTCAATCAGGACCAGCCTCCGATGACTCCGGCCAAGCCGACCCTGGTGGACGGCACGGCGGCCCTGCTGCAGCTCCAGCAGTTCCAGCAGCTTCAACAGCTCCAGCAACAGCTCCAGGGCTCGGGGACTTCGCCTTCGGCCGCGGCGGCCGCGGCCGCAGCCATGGGTCTTGGGACCCCCGCTGGGGCCTGGCTCGATCCCGGGCTGACCGCCTCGGCGCTTGGCTCGCTGGCCCTGCCATCGATGATGGTTGGAGCACCGGGCTCGGTGGCTGCCGGTGGGTCGGGGCTGAATCTGGTTGGCGCCGACGCCAGCCAACTGTCGGCGCTGGCGTCGCTGTATCAATTTGCCCCCGGGCCGTCGTCGACGGTCGGGACCGGCGGATCGCCCCTTGGCCATCCTTCGGCCCCGGGGAGTGGTCTTTTGGCAGGTGTGGGCAGTGCGCCTGGCCATGGTGGCTCCCCGGCCCAGGCCGCCTCTGGGGGTGCCAATTTGTCGCCCTTCCAGGTGGCTGGCAGTGCCGCTGGCCTTGGCATGCTTGGCACCCTGCCGACGGGGGCGTCTCCCTCATCCGGCGCCGTCGGCATGACGGCCCTTTACTCGGGTTCGCCGGCGTCGGGCTCGCTTGGGGCCTCGGGCCCCGGTCCGAGCACGGCCTTCTTGACCCCGACACTGCCATCATCCGGGTCGCCGGCTTCCAGCACGGGGGGGACTCCTGGCGCATCCTCCACTTACCTTCCGACAGGTGGTCTGTCGCCGATGCACATGGGTAGCACCACCGGCATGCTTGGTCCACTGGCCCAACTGGCAAATCCCTCGCTTATGGCGGCTTTGGGCTTCCCGACCGTTGGTGCCCCAGGCCACGGGCAACTGGGCCACGGCCTCTCGCCCCAACAGGCCCAACAGCAGCTGCATCTCCAGCAGCAACAGCAGTTGCAGCTGCAGCAGCAACAGCAGCTGCAGCAGCAACAGCAGCAGCAGCAGCAGCAGCAACAGCAACACTATCAACAGCAGGCAACCGGTCACACGCTGCTCCCGGGGCTCGGGACCTCTCCGGTTCCGGCCGACCAGCCGCTCACCGGAGGTGGTGCCTCGCCGCTGAATGCCTCGGCTGCCAATGCGCAGTTGACTCTCAGCTCGCTTGCAAGCATTTTGTCGTCACACCCGCAGCTGGCCTCGGCGGCAGCCTCCATCCCGGGCTTTTCCAGCCTGTTGGCCGGTGCAGTGGCGAGTGCGCCGACACAGGGCACCGGCACAGGCGGCAGCTCGGGCCCGCCGGCCGGCCTGCTGTCTCAGAACACGGTGCCGCCCGGTGGGACGGTCAACAGCACTTCGGGACCGGCTTTGCCCTTCCCGAATTTCCACCCGGGGCTTCTGCCCAACCAGCAGATGGCCACCTCGATGCCGCACTTCCTCTTCGGGCCACTGGCAACCATCGGCGGGGCCGGGGTGGTTGCAGGAGCAAATCCCGCCGCCGCGCCATTCACCGCGCTCCATCAGCAAGCGCTGGCCGCCTCGCAGGACCCCAACACCCCCCTGGCCACTGGCCAGCCATCTTTGCATGCCGGGGCGATGGCCGCCGCTGCCGCCGCAGCCTCCGCCGGCCGGCATCACTTCCCGCTGGGCACCCCGCCCAACGCAAGCACCTCCAGCACGGGGAGCCATCATGTCGGGCTTGTGCCGAACAGCTTCCGCCAGCCCTCGCCAGCTGGTGGGGCCCCGACGGACCCGAGCCTGCTGTCTCTGGCTGGCGGTGCACACCACAACCTCGCTCCGTTACTGGGCAAATCCTTCCACCAGCCACTGCATCCCGGCCCGGGGATGGACCTTTCCCAGCAGCAGCAGCAGCAGCAGCAGCAGCAGCAGCAGCTACCGCCGCGGCAGCCCACGCCTGCCGCGGTGCTTCAGCAGCCGCAAACACAAATGCCGCCCCAGGCACAAGTGCAGCAGTCTCTCCCACGGCCAGCTCCTCGGTCGGAGACTGATCTGGATGTGCGCTCTCCTCAGTAACAACGGTGTGCCCTCCTTGTGTTGGCTTTCCCCCCCCCCCCTCTGACCTGCCTTTTTTTTTATTTTGTGCCTCCCCCCGTTCCCTGGCAGATTGATGCCATCAGCAACAGTCTCCTGGAGCTGGCCAATGTTTCGGCAGTCGCGGCCGCGGCGGCCGGCCCCCTGGCCGCTCCGGGCTCGGGGTCCACCCTGCCTCCGACGGATGCCGACCTTCTTGCCCTTGTATCGCAAGGTTCGTTCGCCCTTCTGTGACATTACGCCGGCCCGCCGGCCCGCCGCCCCGACACCTCCTGCACATGGGCCTGTGTCTGACGCAATCCCCTCCACCCCAAAAGGCCGCAACTCCGGTGCACAGAAGCCCGGACCATGATGGCACCATGGCCAGGCATCTTCATGTGTCCCCCGGTCCTTGTCAAGTCTCGGCTTGGCTCTCCTTGTTATAGAATTCGCACCATCCCCATCAGCTGCCCAGCTGCCCCTGTGGCGCCGCATGGGGGCCGGGAACTGACTCGGCTCAGTGGAAGGCAGCGCTGCGGAGTGGCATGGGAAATGCCACCGAATGAATGCTTTCATTTATATTGTAGGCACCAGGGCAGTAAAGCGCATGCTGGTCGTGGGGAGGGGGGGGGGTAGAAGGAATATGCGGATGGGGGAGAGGGGGTGTCCCCTTTTTGTTGCCCGAAACATGGGGAAATGGAAATAGAGTACAAGAGGAAGGGGCAGGGACGCGTGGCCCGCTACGAAGGGAGACCGCCAGGGCAGCAAAGGAGGGAGAGGAAGTGTACAAGTACAGGTGCCAAGGGGGAGGGGAGGGGGGGGGGGAGAGGCGACTGCAGGGCAGGGAAGGGCTGCCGTTTAGATGTCAATCACGGAGACACCATCCTTGTTGACGAGCTTAATCTGGAAGTTGGGCTGGGAGATGAGCATGCGCTGCTGGACCACCTTGATGGCGGACTTCAGCAGGGCGATGCCCTGCTCGAGGTCCATGTCCGGCAGGTAGGCGTTGTCCAGGGTGGAGAGGACAAAGTTCGAAGCGAAGCCGTGCGCGCCGAAGGGGATCTACATGTGGCCAGGCGGCATGGGTGCAAGGAGAAGAGGGTGATGGTGAGTGAAAAGGAGACGTCATTGGGGGGGGGGGGGGGGGGGGGGGGTGGGGGAGGGGAGTCAGGCGCCTGGTGGGGGCGTCGAAAAAGGCACCCGCTGGTGCAGGAAAGGCCAGTGGGGAGAGGAGGGGGGGGGAGGTTGAGGAGAAAGCACGCACCTTGCACAGAGTACCGAGGTAGTCGAGCCAGTAGAGCTCGGGGCCCTCGTGCTCGTCGAAGCCGGCGATCAGGACATTGACGGCGTATGGGCTCTGTGGGGGGATGGGTCAGGTAAGAGGGGGATGGGCAGGATGGGGAAGTGGCGGCGCTGGGTGGTGATGACAGGTGCCCGGGAGATCTGACACAAGGAGGCGTACGCGAGAGCGGAGGGACTCGGCCAACTGGGTGCGGACGTAGTTGGCCGCGGCCTTGGGCGAAAGCTCGAAGTTGTTGCGGATGGCATAGAGGCGAATGTTCTTCTGAATAAACTCGGCAAACTACAGGGTAGTCCGGGCGATCAGGCAGAAAGAGGGTAGGAGGGGGAGTGTAAGTTGAGTTGCCAGCGGGGGGGAGGTGGGGAGAGAGAGAGAGAGAGGGGGGGGGGGAAGGACCAGGGCCAGGGCCAGGGCGGGGCCCCCCTCACCAAAGGGCACACACCTGAACGGTGTCACCGGACTCGCCGCAGAAGGCCATCGTGATGTGGGGCGACAGATCGCGCGTCTTGTCCTCGTTGACCTTGAAAACCAGGATCGAGCGGGCGGCGGTCATATCGGAGGCGGTCAGGACATAGTCCTTCCCAGTAAGGCTGATGAGCGTCTCCATGGCTTCGTGGAAGAGGGCGGCGAGGGCGGGGGGAGAGGCGGGAGGAAACGCAAGGGAGGCGGCAAGGGGGGGGGGAGGGGGAGGGGAGGAGGGGGGATGGGATTTGGAGCATCGGACGGGCCTTGGCTGACCGACAGTGGCCTGCGAAAAAGGGGCTGCATGGACAACGGCGCTGGGCCCTCCAAAACCCGACCAGACATCGCCCGGGCGCCTCGCACTCACCCACCCAGACACACCGATGCACACCGATGCACACGCAAGAAAGTGTCAAAGGCGCGGGTGTCGCGCCGAAGATACTCGAATGTCTGGCCTGGCACACGCGCCGAACGACACGCCACAGGCTCTCGACGGAAGATTGGCCTCCGCGGCCTTCTCCTCCCAGATGGCTTTGGCCCCCGGTCGCCACGGGCTTGCGGGCATGGTGGCCACACACACACACACACATGTCGGGCAAGGTCGCCTGGCGCAATATCACTCGGTTGAACAACAGGGGGAGCGGGGGGGATGCCGATGAGATGCTATCCCGAACTAGAGCCTAGGGGTGCGCGAAGTCTCCCCCGCTGCCTGGCCCTCGCCCATCCCCAGGGCGGGCAAGCGGAAGCCTCATACTTCGGCTTGGGAGAAACCACTGTCCAGTCCAGCCGGTCCCCCCCCCCCCCCGGTCCTCATTTTAACGCACACCATCATGTCAAGCAGGAGGATCCGTCTCGACGGTCCGGAGCCCGGTGCAGCGCGGAAATCGGGCGAGCCGCCGACACCAGCGGGTCTCCCCCCCCCCTTGGAGAGACACATCGGCAGGGGGCGGCGGCGCCTCTCCGCCGTCGCCGGGGCCGGAAGTTCATGCGAACGATTGGGCACGCGGCAGTCGGGCGTGATATGTGATCGAATGTCACGTTTTGTCGATACAATGCGTTGGGCGCTAATAATACCCGGGCGGGGCGGCTCGGCCGCCGGCTGGACACGCCCTCGCCGCCCGCCATCCTCTCGGGAGGCCGACCCGGCGAGAGGCCGAGCAGCGGGGGGGGACCCCCGGCGCATGTGTAGCAAGGCCTGGTTGGCCTGGCGCCGGGCTCCCCGGGACGCGCCGCACAGGGCAGGCCAGAGGGGGCGGCGGAAAAGGAACTCCGGCGTTTGTAAACGGCCAATAACGGTATTTAATATCCCCGCTTCACATATTCCCTCCCTCTGCACCCTGGACCGTGCGGCCGGGTCCCTCGTTCCGCCGGGCCCCGTTCCATGCGTCCTGTTCCGCCCTTCTCCGCGTTGGTATTTGGGGCCGCAGCCGCCCTGGCGAAAGCGCGGCCACTGTCCACTGCCAGAGAGTCCGGGCGCGCGGGAGAGTGGCTGTCGTCCTCCAGATCCCCCCGCCCCGCCCCGCCCCGCCCCGGCCCCCGCCCCCGCCCCCCTGGGGATACCCGCGCAGGGTCGATACGGGCGGCCACGTCCGCGCTGCCCCCCCCCCCCCGTCCTTCCTGGTGTGCTCCTAAGCCCGGCCTCAATCGGAAAGCTGCCCGAGCCAGCTGCACATTGTTCGTTATTCGCCGGGTGCCGTCAAGGTTGGCTTGAGAGAAAAAGGAGTCTATCTCCCCACGGGGGGGGGGGGAACGCATCCGGTTCTGGTCGCGGCGCCTGGACCGGGGCTGCCTGCCTCTGTCTGGAACAGCAGCCCCGATGTGGGCGGGCTATCTTTCCTTGCAAGAGATTTTCCCTTGCGTGCGGGCGCCGCTTGTTCTCGCGCCGGGGGCCAGCCCTGCCGGGTGGGATGAACGCACCTGCGGGCCCCGGCACGCGCGTGCGCGCGCGCGCGCGTGCGAGGTCACCTCCCCTGGCTCTTGACGATATCCAGCCCCCGGGCAATCTCGGGAAATAAACATCCCTCCCGGCCCCCCCCCCCCGCCCCCGCGTCCCGCCCCCAGAGTTCGGCCTTCCGCGGGGGCGCATGACTACGCAGGGAGCCGGCTTGGACGCAACCAGCCGGTGTGTTTGAGGGCTCCGCCTGGTCCTCCCGGACCCCCCCGGGATGAAGGGCGCGGGAGCGGGGGCGCCGGTGGGACCTTTTTCGCGCCTGTGCGCGTTCGCCAGCCCCCCCCCCGCCCCAGTCCTGCCTTCTCTCCCCAGCCAGTAGAGCCCACATAATTAATCCCAGGACCTGTTCAGCCCCAGCGTCGGGTGCTTGCTGTCGAGCTTTTCCCGCCTGAGCGCCAGGCCAGGGGCGGGGGGGGAGTGCATGTGCATCTCGCGGTCTACCGGCGTGCTGGAATGGCCAGACCGCTGTTATGGCCTTAGGTCCCGCGGTCCTCAGATGGCTGGCCGTTGATGGTCTGTTCTCCCGAGGGGTCGGGGGGGGGGGGCGCGGGGACGAGGTCCAATTCCACACGCCGTCGAGAAACCGGGTTCCGCCTCCCTCCGCCCAGGGCCCTCTCTTGCTGGGCAATGCGCGCGCTGTCCCCCACTCTTCAGGGGGAGGAGGGGGGAAGAGGGGGAACAGGCCAGCACGGGTCACCTGCCCGCCCCACGAATTAGCACCATCGGCGAGCCCTTGGCCCGTGCGGTCCCCCCTTCACACTCGGGGCTGACGGAGGACGCACGAATAGCGGGCTCCTTTGACACCTGGGCCTGGCCCGGCCCGGCCCGGCCCGGCCCACCTTGCCCCGGCCCGGCCCGGCCGCCAGCTCGCTCCCTTTGACCCCCCAACCTGGATCGAAGGCGGAGCTCGTTTCATCGGCCGGCCCAGGGCCCAGCGGGACGGCATGCGGCGGAGGGGGCGCCCGACCGCCAAAGAGCCGGGCCCCGGGGCCCGGGAGGGGGGGGAGCAGCCGTGTCTGGCCACGATGACCGGGCCGGCGGTGGCCCCCCCCCCCCGTCTCGTGCCCATGATGGGCATTTCGCTGTCACGTACGCACTGCGGGCTGGCCTCCCGGTCCGTTTCCTTGCGGGGCGTTGGGAGGCCGGGGCATGTCGTCCAGTCTTGGGGGCTTTTTTTTCCCCCTCTCTCTCTTTCTCTCTCTCGCTCTCGCTCTGTCGTTTCGGGACCGCCCGGCATGCCAACCGTCTGGCACTGGGCCTGGCCATCCCATTCGCAAGCTAGTCCCCTACCCCGGCGCATTCGGCCCGCATGCCTGCACATTATCGCATGCTTGGGCGCGTCCTTTGGCGACCTGTTCCCGGCCCGCGCTGCACGCGTCTCCCAGCCACTCCTCCCCCCCCCCCCCC